AATTGTGATGCTCAGATGATTTTAACTTACATTCAGGAAGAGAGACTCTGTCTTGCTTCTGAGTAGTATTCTGGTGCCACTCTGTTTCTGAAGATGGCTATCTGGAACTTTGCAGACACACAATGATTTATGGTTATCTCATCTATTCGAATGAATTACAAAATGCTCTTATAATATGTACAAAAATTAATATTACTTAGCAATGAATCAGCCTTAAAGGAGTAATTAACTAAGAGAATTAGCAATTCTATATTGATCTAGTTTGCCACTCTATTAGATTACTTAATAATTCTTATTTTGAGCTTGTGTCTTTCTTTTTGTTTTGGGACTGTTAATAAAAGCCTACTGAGCAGTGTGCTTTTATTATCAATAAAGGTATATATTAGCACCACACCTTCCACCTCTGTAGACACTTCCCTCTCCCACAAATGAGGTAAGGGACCCTCAATTGTGGAAAATATTGGCCCTTTAGCAGGCTAAAATGTGCATCTCTGTTCCTTAGTAGTTCATTTCACAACAAAGGGAAAAACTTTCTTAAATCTCCCACTAAGGGAAAGTTTTCAGAGAAGCCTTCTGTTTCTTAAGTGTTCTTTAAGTTTAAATCACTTTGATTACTACAGATTTACATTCAGTGTATCTTATTTTATGGCAAAGCATTTGTATCTAGGTTTTACTTTTGTAACAAGGATTCAGCAACTTTGTACATTGGTTGATGAGCATTAGTCACCATTAATTGTTTAGAAAAGGTTTTTTATCGTATTAGTAATTATGTATTTTAGCAAAAAAATTTCTGAGGTGACTGTTGTTTGAAGAAAGCTATTTTGAAAATTCTTAATTAACCATGGTTTCTCAAATTTAAATTGTTCTTGACAACTGAAATTCCTACAGTTCAGGGAAAAGCAGACTACAGAACTTAAAAGGAAGATTCACCATTGATAAATTCAATATGTATGAAAATCTGAGGGAGTGAAAGGAAACTATGTGGGAATTTAAACAAATTTAAAATGATGAAATATATATAGAATAACCAAAAAAGATCATCACTGCAAATTTTATAATAATATATTATATTGTCACTAGTATCTGTGTTTAATATCTGTTTACTTATTTTGCTTATAAAAATAGACACTTTTGATTAGATTTCAGGTAAATTTCCATGGTAACTGCAAGACTAAGAAGTTGATGCTGTATTGACATTTGAAAAATATGAAATAACCTTGTTATTTTTAAAGTTTATTTATTAAGCAGTGAAATTTTCCATGGGTCTTAAATATCCCTGTATACTCAGTTCACCAACAAACCATTTAACGATAAACCTTCAAAGCTTATGGATTTTGGGTGTGCTTTTTTAAGTTCTGAAGTTTTAAAGTTCCATTTTCACTTAAAATTTTAAGTTTTTAAGTTCAGTTTTAACTGCTTAATCTCTTACTGTTGTGAAAAATCTTACTACTCCCAGTGAAATCTCTGCATGTTGCTGTTTTGCTAAGTTGGTGACCCTTCAAAAGGTGCTAAAACATGAGCTGGCCTTGAGAATTCCTTTGCTGACGTTCTGCCTTGCCCTGTGTCTCAGTGCCCCGTGGCTCAGGTGTGCAGAGCACAGGGAGGCAGGCAGGTATTGAGCACAGGAAGAGCCCTGGAGGACTGTTCCTCTGGTTGTTTTTAGCAGTGCTACTCGTGACACTGACCTGGATCATCCATCCAGCTCCCTTCTGATGGCAAACAAATGTCACAGGGCTTCCAGGACCTCAGGGAGCCAACAGGGAAGGGGGAGAAGGACTTTTTACAAAGGTGTGTTGTGACAGGACAAGACAAATGGCTTCAAACTGAACAAGAGTAGGCTTGGATTGGATATTAGGGAGAATTTCTTTCCTGTGAGGGTGGCGAGACACAGGAGCATGTTGCCAAGAAAAGCTGAGGCTGTCCCATCCCTGGAAGTGTCCAATGCCAGGCTGGATGGAGCTCTGAGCAACCTGAGCAAGTGACAAGTGTCTCTACCTATGACAGGGATTGCAATTAGATGATCTCTAAGGTCCCTCCCAACCAAAGCCTTACTATGATTCTATGCTGATTATTTATTAATCAAGTCTATTTTTCTGTGGTATTCATTACTACAGTGGATTTAGGGTTGCCAGTTCACAAATTGCAGCCATAGGTATTGTAAATGCAGGCAAACTCAATGGGAAGAAATGACAATGTCTGACTCAATTCAGAAGGCTGAATTGTTTCTTTATTATAACTATGCTAAAATACATTAATATGCTATATAAAAGGAGGATTCTAAAACTACATACCTACTTTCTCTGACTCTAACACAACTCGTGACCCTCTCCTGAGAGTCCAGACACAGGTGGATTGGACTGGCCATCAGGCTCAAACAATCCTCACCAGAATCCAATCAAGCAATCACCTCAGGTAAACAATTCTCCAAACACATTCCACATAGGAAAAACAAGGAGCAGAAATAGAAATTGTTTTTACTTTCATTTCTCTCTGTGCACCTCTATGAAAATTTTCTTCATAGCACATCTACAAATCCCACAGATCAATAAGTGGCGTGTGGCTTCAGCACATTCTTTCTCCATGGTAGGAAGGCAGTAGCAGATGACTTGAGCTCAGGTATCCTGTCTTCATGAAATCTTTTTCTCTTACACTTTGAGTTGACCACAAATTCATTGCATGGCTTAGGAACCCAAAATAATTGCAAGAATCATAAATTGTGTCAGGTGCCAGTGCTTTGTAATCATGGAGTATGCTCTTTCACAGGATCAATTACTTGAGCAATTAATGAAATTGATATTAAAATTGGACAGTAGAGATTTCATGTTAAATATCTTCAAGCCTTTCAATTATTTCAAAGTCAATTCAGTTCTGAAAGAGGTTTTGGTATATATTCTTTTCCAATAATTTTCAACTATGAAATGAAGTAGTCACTTTTATCTGTATCTGTTTGTGTGCTCCATGTCTCACCATAACATCTGAACTGGTTTGCTGATTTAACAGGACTTCATAGTTATTTTTGAGACTGCCTAAGGCTTTATGAAATTTAGAGCAGATAATGGGAAAAGAAGCAGAGATAAAGATTGCAGTGTAACCCTCTATCACTAGACAAAAAAAATCTACAGTGGGAGAGAACCTGTAGAAAACATCTATTTATACTTTTGATCAACTCTAAATACAAAAGAGATGAGAATTCATTTATACCAGTGGTCACAGAAGTGTTACTTTCTGAAACAAATTGAATCTACATTTGTTTGTGTTTTCCTCTAGACTTCATCCTTAATTGGAAATTTCCTTGAAATTTGGTTTTTATTACAGAGGATATTACAGAGGATATTTTCATGTAAGTTGCATGAACTTTAAAATAGGAAAGTGTAGGGGAAATAGAGCATTTAAAGTCAACTCTTTATTCTGCTTGCCTATAAAGTTTTTACATTATCCTGTTTTGTTACATTATTTACCTCACAGGAAAACAAATTTTCTTGGGGAAAGAAAAACCATCCATATGGAGTGAGCTAATCTATGGTTTAGCTACCTTTTGAATCCTATTAAGATTTTAAAAGATAATATAGGTAGAACTTGATTGTCATTGATCATAAGGGTCTTTTTTACACCCCTCTGGAGAATGTTACATATAAACCCTCTAAGCTAGTCCATAAATATTGCAAAATATGGGGGCCACATAATCAACATGAAGGAAGTATAGTTACAACATCGAATAATTTTTTTTTGGTGTCAAAGATGCACACAAACTATTTTTATGTATGAAAATACTTATTAGACAAAATAACTTGAAGCAGTGGAATAATTGGCATGTATTCAAATTGTGGTTAATTGAATTCTTCATCTGTGGCTTAGAGAGCCACATGGGGTACAGATTCTGCACAGAGGAAGCAATTTTCATTAACGGGATATAATTTAGAATGAGAAAACATATACACTCTGCCTGCAACACAGTTAATAATTAATATGGAATAAATACATAGACATACACTGAGTTACCATATTTCTACCTGTCACTCTGTAGAGTTTCAGCTACTCATTTGCATGCTAAATAAGTATATTTATTCAGGGAGATGACACTGTAACACTACCTTCAAAAGTGGAAGACCTTTATGTCACAGCATCAGAAATGAGTCATCCTTGTTTTTAAAAAGGCAAAGTGAGATCAGAATGGTGATTTGATCTCATGCCTCCTTACATTTAAGAAGTTTGCTGGTTTCTGAAGTGACACTGTACTGTTAAAAGCTGATAACCAGTTCCAAAACTGACCATTATTTTTGAGGCTGGTCAGTTTTCCTGAATTAGATTAGAGAAAATTTAAAACCTCTTGAGAAATAATATTATTTCTCTTTTGCTTTCTGACAATCTCTGGCATTTATTATTTGGCCTCTCATGTATGTTGTTAATATTAGGATGTGTCTGCATGCAAAAAGCAAACTATTTGAAGGACTGAGAAGAATGTCTTGCAGGATGTGTGAGGATGTGCTATCAATGAAGGGAGTAGCTGACTGAAAGCCAGCAGCAGCACAGGGTTCAGGCTCTGTCAGTGACTTGCTGCATCACTTTAAGCAAGTTGAGTTACACCTAATCTCAAAACCAGATAAAGTTAATTGGGGTAAGAAATTCTATAAATCTAGATCTCGGAATGTGCTTGTGCACATATCAATACAGAATGTGTTGGTACAAAGCCTAACCATGGTCTTTACCTCTGGAAAGGTATAAACAGAATTTTAAATCCAGTTACTTTTGAGACAGTGCCTTGACATGCACACAATTCTTGACTTCAACAAAACTGAAAAATATTCCTTAAATATTCCCTTGAATCAAAGCTCAAAACTCCAAATCTCTTGCAAGGATTTCTTAGCATTTCACCTGAACCCATTCAGTGCAATAATAGCACTCCCAAATATTTGCCATATTTATTTTATGAACCACAATAATATTTAATATTACTGAATTGTAGGACTGGACTTCATATTTCCTTCTCTTTTTAACAACAGGTGGTAACAATATTGGCAAACATGTCTGTGTTGGACCAGTGTGCTTCAGAAATCATTCAAGGAAATGGTATGTATTTTAGCTGAATTGTTTTATATTTATTTCTGGAGAGTCTGAGTAGATGAGTAGTACTTTCAAGGTAAAGGAGAAAGGCTTCACTAATAAAGCTTCATTTTGCATCCTGTCTCTGCTGTATATTGCACATTGCTGCAGGGTGCAAAATGAACCCTGGGGATGGTTCCACATAAACGAAATAAAATGCCACTATTTTAGGAAACCTCATTTGTGACCACATTGTTGGTGTTCTGTGTGTGACTTGCTCCTAGATGCAAAGCAAAGTAGTAAAAAGTGTTTCAGCAACCTCTACAGTGGTAATACAAGTAATATTATGATAAGATGTAAATGCCTTATTAATACACCCTAAATGTATGCATTATATATTAATATACATTAAATTACAGTGAGAATTCACATATATTGCTTTGCTAGGCCAAGTAGGCCTAACTCATGCTGGGTGCAGCAGTGGATTGTCAGGGACAATGCCAGCAAGCAAAATTTGTGTATACATCCATCATGGAATATCACAAGAAGCATTTGCCCCCTGGCTTTTGAGAGGGATTGGCACTCATCCTGTGTGTAAAACTTTTTTTGTGTCTTCCTAATATTATAATAAACAGGTGCTAGTCAGAGGCCACATTCTGAGAATGGTCTTTGAATGCTGGAGAATTTAGGTACTTTCTTCTCAACTCTGAATTTTTTGTGTGTTGATTGATTATTATCTAGCTGCATGGTTCTGATGATAATTCTATGAATTATTTATGCAAATGTTCTAACAGTTAAAATCCTCTGATGTTACTTGATGTAATCTGAATGCCTAATAGCATATAGAGTTTAATAGCACATAATTGTCTTTAGACTTAATCTAGAAAAGAGAAATCATCTTCTTTTTTTGTGGTGCTACAAGAAGAATATCAACTCCTACAGGCTACAAGAAGTTAATGAAGCTACTTTGACATTGTCTCTTTTGGAGTGAAGAGTTATACAGTAAAGTTCAAGAAACATATTTTCATCATTTCCTTCATTAAAGGATTCCTCATTCTAAAATACCCTTAAATATTTGAGAAGAAAACTTTTAAAGGCTTGCTTAAAAATATGTAAACAAACAAAAAAATTACTTTAACTGAGAGTGGAACTTCATTTAGAGACCTGATAGATGTGACTACAGGTTTTTCAGTTAGTGATTACCTTCAGGTTAGTTTAGAATTGAAAAAGGAATTACATTTGGTTGACTGAAATAAATTTGTGAAATTTAAAATACCAACTTTTAGAGGAGGAAAGAGTTAATGCATTTTCTAGTTCCAGAGCTTCTGTAGCTTCCTAGTGAAGACAAACATGCATAGATCAGATGTGCCTGGGTGCTGAAGTCAAAAATGCAGGATTCATTTATATATTCTCCATTCTCCCTTTTTGGGAAGAGGCTGGTCTGTATTAACCCAGCTTTCCTCTACCCCTTTACCTCTTTTGCACTGCTTTTTTTTTTGTTGGAGGGTGGATAACGACGGCTCTTGCATCCTTGTAGGTGTTCAGCTTTTAATGGAGATGCTCTTTGAGAAATGCCCCTCTGGAAATGCAGCAGAAGCTGCAGCTTGCGAGCGAGTCCAGCAGAAGTCCGCGGTTACCCTGGCGCGGCTCAGCCGAGACCCCGAGGTGGCAGATGCAGCTGTGAAACTCAGCTGTAAGGATGTGTCTCCTGCTTCATGGCACTGAAAGAGGGAGGAACTGCCAGTCGTGGAGAAGCTCTTTGCAATTTTTAGCCTCACTTGGTGAACTTTATGAGAGATATTCCCTATAGAGTCTGTCCAGAGGATGACTGAGGAGATGGAGCTAAATGAACCTCTGGCTTGTTTCCCAGAGGAGCCTGAGGTGCAGCATCCACTCAACACGTAGCTGTGCCTTGCTGTGCCAGCTGACACTGCTGCCTCCTCATTCCTTTATGCAGGATCTGTCAAGGCACAGAAAACTGGCACCCCAGCAGTCCAGATGGGATGAATCCAATGGGAGGGAATGTGTTCTTTGGGTAGGAGTTTTTAAGGTGTGTGGGAGGATGAGTAGGGATGGAGGTCACAATTTCCACTCTGAAACTGCAGCAGCAAGTAAACCCAATTTATTTGTTTATGCTTTACGACTATTAATTATGACTGCTGTGAACTGCCTAGCTTCATGAAAAGTCCCTTAAGTATTTGCATATCATCATTTCATTAGAGATCATATCAACTAAAAAAACATAAATATGTTGCATCTAAAAAATATCAAAAATAAGAAGTTATTTTTCTAAATTATTTCTCCTGACACTCTTTTGTTGCTCTCAGGTATTCCTCGCCTGATTAAACTTTGCAGATCACCAACAGAAAGAAATAACAGTGATTCTGTTTTAGTGGCATGTCTGGTATGTACATTTTAGTCTTCCTTTCATGCTTATACTGGAAAATTAAGGAAAAAATATCCCTTTAGATTTAAAAATCCATAAGTATTGCAGAAATGTTTTAAATTCATGTCAGGGTCTCCTGCTTTTCCTCTTAAGCATAATCCTGTACACTCTCAATTATTTATTTTCGGATTGAAGACTTAAGCACATAAAGAAAAATTGCTTCATCTTCACATTATTTGGCATCAAAAAATTTCCTTGGAACACTTTGGAATTTAAGGATTCATTAATTCCTAAATTCTATTCTGTGATGGTTCTATGTTTGTTGAAAGTAGCCTTGAGTCACGGGGGTAGCAGCCCTTTATCAGCACTCATGCATATATTTGAAAATATTTATATAAAACACCCAAAAAAGGTGAAAAGAAATTTCTTGCTTCCACTCCAATCCAATTTTTTATTCTATTTGTGCCACCAAGACAATACAGTGCCCAGCAAGGAGTGGGCACCAGAAGCTTAAGACTGCTCAGGAGAAAGATCCCATCTGGCCCTGCACTGCCTGGATTGTGAGCCAAATGCCAGAGCTGAATGATTTCACTGAGCTTTCTGTGAAAGGGCTATGGGGACATGGGTGATCTAGGGTTGGAGCATAAGCTCTGGTGAATGAAGACTGAAGAATACTCTTTGACAGTGCTTTATGATATTAATGTAATTTTAAATGTAAAAGTAATACTCAGTTATTGCAGCTTGGTTATTTCAGCAGGTCTCATTCAGGATGAAGAAAATATAAATGTGAGCATAGAAAATGCTGTGATTGTTCTTCCTACATGCCAAGAAGACTTGTTAATCTTGTGTGGTTAGAGCAGAGACCACAGAGCGATGGCAGCAAACCAGAGTATGATTTTTGTCTCACTCAAGTTGTTGCTGCACATTCCTTGAATCCATGCCTATTGATTGAGACGTTACCTACCTCCCTGTCTCAGAAATTTGTCTTCTGATACTTTAGTAACTGCCTGAAGATGTTTTCTGATAAAAATGTGTCAAAAATATTGTCCTTGAGACATAAGCTGCTTCAGGCTCTCTTGGGTATTGTCACGGGTGTCTGAGGGTTTGCACTGTATTTAGACCTGCTGTTCAGGTCAAAAAGCAAAGTGTCCCAAAATAATTACCATTGAATAATTTTGCATGAGGGAAGATTAATCTGACAGATGAAGACAGTGAGATTACCCAGGTAGCAGAACCCACAGACCTGCAGTGTTCATTTTTGAGTCCTGGCTGTTACTTAGGTGTGGTTATTAAGGATTCCTGAATGAGGACTTTGCCAAACCTGACTGCAGTGCAATGATGCTGTTTTGTTTTTCTAGGCAGCCTTGAGGAGACTGGCAGTCATGAGTCCTGATGGGCTGGAAGATTCAGATTTTCAGCAGCTGGTAAAGCCCAGACTAGTGGATTCTTTTCTGCTGTGCACAAATATGGAAGAGAGCTTTGTATAAATGGGAGCCAAAACCCTTTGAACAATAAGGATGATGATAGGTACACAGTACACTTTTATTTTGGTTTAGTCCTATTGTTATTTATGACTTATTTATTATAAACCCATGAACATGGAATTTGCCAGAACAAAGGGACAGAATTAGAAAACTTGTTACTGTGGTTTGCAAAGGTAATTTTTTATTTTATTCTCCTGCCAAGACACACAAGACCTTATTATTGCCATCTAAAAACATGTTTTCTTTAATATAGTTAAATTAAGGTACTGAAGCCAAGAATTTGTTGCTCTGATGTTAAATGCTTCTAATAATGTTTTATCACTGATATTTTTCTATAGTTAGGATGTTTTGTAAGTTTTTAAATAAATGTTATAGCCTCATGTGTATTAGGAGAAAATAGTCCTGAAAGCTGCAAGTATCTGCTTTGAAATGAAAGGGATATTAGAGTCCGAGTCCAGTCCTTAACTGTTGCTTTTTAATAGCATTATATAACTGAGAAAAATTTCCAAAAAAAACTTCAAATACTGGCTTCAAATGATGCTAGAATACATTCTTGGGCTGCATAGAGATATGCTAACATCAGAGGATACACACTAACAGAAAGCTCTTTATTTACATTGACTGAAATTTCCTAAAGAAATCCATAGAATTCTAGAAAAATTTTTTTGATGGTGTGCGTGTTTTATCTCATGATGTGAGATTTTCCGCCTATGTTTTAAAATCATTACACAGTGATAATTTTCTCTCCTTTCCAAGCCTTGCAAGAACTGGAACTGCTAATGCCCAGACATGTTTTTAACATTCAAGCTACTGTTTTTGTGAAAAGCTGTTCACACCTATACTAAATAATCTGAAGAGTTTAATTAGTTGGAACTTGAATTTTCATTTTTCTGGCTTGCTAACGAGTTCTGTATTTTTAAAACTTAAATGGGACTGTTAGGAGCCCTGGAAGTTGATAAATGGATGATAACCTAAATAACAGATGTGATTTTGAAATCAACTTTTTTTCATGAGCATTCTTCTTAATTCTTTCCTTTTCCTTTCATTGAAAAACCACATCTAATGAAAATTACTCAACCAGCAATAGCTTGGTAGTGTTTTTTTTCCTTAACTTTTCACAAAGCACTCTGTAGATTATGAAAAAATGTAATTCTTTTCTTCATGGCTTCCAAACATTGCTTTGGATCATCTTATGATCAGCAATTTCAGGTACTAGGATATCTGCCAAAACCCCCCCACATTCCTTCCTTAGTGTACTTTGTAGATATATTTAACAGTTTAATTAATTAAAGTTTTTTAATGTTATGTGGTTTTTAGATGAATTACCAGGTAATTGTGAAGCTGTGATGGTCTTCTACATTTTCTGTATATGAAAAATCTTTCCTGTTTTAAGCAGTGAGACAATGGTGGCTACTTTTTTCTTCCTTGATTGTATGGATTAAGAAGTCTCTGCCTTAATGTCTTTCTTGTGAGCTCTTCATATAATCAGCTCTATCTTGACTGAATTTTAAAACCTCACAAAACATACAATGACCTCTGTCATGAGCAGCTATTCAAAGGAAAGTGTTGAATCAGATGTTCTAGTAAGCACAGAAGCATAGAGATGAATTCTGNTTTTTTTTTTTTTTTTTTTTTTTTGCTTACTTTGAGACAGCTTCTTAAGTTTCCAAGATTGTTAAAATGTATGGTACTGTAAAGCTTTAAAAATATTGTGTTAGTGATGGACTTTAACAGTTTCCTCACTAAGCAGAAATACATATGTGAGCCATGGATGTCTTGGTATAAACAATTAATTAATAAATTTCATAAAAAAATTAAGCAAAAATAAAATCTTGTTGTTATCATTCTGATAGCCTGGCAAAACCCTGATAAAACACATCAAATTCTGTACTGAATTTCTGTACAGAGCCTCATTCTGTCAGCTTCAGCTAACACCAGAGATATGAGATTGTAGATGGAGTGGGGTTTATCCCATAATAGGTAAATTTAAAGTCTCATTTAAAGAAATTTTCCATACGTGCACAGTGAACTGAAGGAGCTATTAAGAAAATTCCATCATGACTCATAATGTTTTAATGTAATTTCTAACAGATCAATCAAACATTCAGTGAGCAGGTCAGTAACAACTAAGTTGCTCTCAAATACAGGAATGTGAACCCACATTGATTGAATTTACTACAGCTACTCTCAATCTGTTATATGGGTCCATAATTCTAGACCCATATTTTCCATTTAAATGTGTTCATGTTACAGACATGGCTGTTTATATTGCAGAAGAGAAGTATTTAGGTGGAAATCATATTTGCAGCAGAAAATATATCTTGAAAGAGCCATTTCAGCAGGCCTCTTGTCATCTAAGTGTCCTCCAAACCATCTTAGGTTTTGACTTTTTCACCTAGAGCTGTGCACTTTATTTTTGTATATGCTAAAGTTTATGGGAAAATAAACATACCTCTAACTTCTTGATTCATTTGGAAATAATAAGTCATTAAAAATATTGATTTATTTTTCTCATCACTTCTGAATGAGAATTCTGGATTCTGAATGAATTCTGGATTCTGAATATTTGTTTTGAAAGTGACTCTTCAGCTTTAAAAAAGCCAAACAAAAAAAGAACAGTTTAAGCCAGAATAAACATTTTTGCTTTCAAGTGTAGTATTAAATGCAATATTTAATATCAAGTAATTTTCACTAAAATAAGTATTGTGGTGGCTTAATCCTTGGACTCCCTGTGTCTATACATAGGTAGGAGTGAGAGTGGAGAGTAAGTGAAATACATTCACAAATCAGCTCATTTATGTGGACTCATTGACCTACAGAGCCTGAATGTAGGTTAGGTGTTGGTTTAATCTTCCTGGAAAATGAATGTCAAACTTGTTAGAAATGTTGTTTCACTTAAATTCTTCTGAACATTTTCAGTTTTGTATGAGATTAGAAATGCTTAACAAACACAGTGAGCATTACAAATAATTTGTAATTTTCATTTACATTCCAGCAGCTTTGGACAGTGTCTTAAAATTTCAGCTTTAGTTTCAAAGTGTTACAAATATTCAGGGCCCAGATGTTTCATTCATAGAATAAGGTTTGGTTGTTCTCTGTTTATTGCATACTTGGCACATGAATTACTTATGTAGAATTTTACTTGTCTGACCTTTTCGGTTTAAAATAGTATTTGTATTTACAAAGAATAAAATAATGTCTCTGTAAATTGCATACCTTAACTAATTAATTGGGGTTGTCTGTTAGTATCCAAAAGATTACTTAATTTATAGGGTTTTACCTTTGTTCAAGACTGATTCTGGTCTCTCATATGGCTTGTTCCAAATTTTTGTGTTGGCCATCTCCTTTTAGATAACAGCAATGAACAGTCAAAATAACCTTGGCTTTTGTATTTTGAGGAATCTGCTTTGATCTTCAGTTTAAATTTTTATTAAATTAAATGTATTTAAAGAAGCACTCTAGACACTGTAAATTATTCACCAGTGTTCTCATTTTTAAGGGGAGGGGAGGGAAGATGGCATTAAGCATTGAAAGAAAGGTCCAGAGTGAATTTGTTAATGGGAGTTGGAAGTGCAGAACTGGTGGGAAGGTGGGTGAATGATTTCAGCTCTTGACAAGCTAAAGAATTGGGAACAAGAAAAACACAGGATCATCTATTCTAGATACTTATGTTCTTTGTGGAGACCCTTATCTCTATTTTCTGGCTTGCTCTTGGATCTGAGTTTCTTTTTCCAGCTGTGACAAATGTCTTCCTCTTGGGAGTATATTTGTCTAAGCTAGTTAGCTAACAGAAGAGAGTTACATTCCAAGGTCTGGTTCTGCTAATTCCTACATTGATAAGGTTTTTCCTGAGAAACTAAGTAACAAAAATACATTGTTAAATACATGTAATAAGGATCACCTAGAACAGAAAGAAATGTTTATTGTTCTTATGACAAGGGGAAGGTCCAACATATCCTCCAAAAAGCCTGAGAGAAAGCACAGGTATATCAGCTTATACTTTCATGTTTTGGTACTTCTGCAAGCAGGACTGATGACTTACAGTTTATGAATTGATCAGTTGTCAGTCAAATAATCACTGAATCAGAGAAATAAAAGAAACTTACTAGACCTGTAACCTGAATGCTGGAAAATTAAAGATTTTTCTTTTTCATTTTCAATAGCTAATTGCTGACTTTTTAATAATTGAGGTGTGCCTGGAACCCAAAGAAACCTATGGGAAACCAGTGGGGCAAAAAAACAGTAGCAGGTAATGCTGCTAAGTTGCTTTGGAAAGAAATTTAAAAGGATCAAAAGGCTTAAATGAGGTTGAGAAGGAGGTGTGTATAATGCAGTCACTTATCACTTCTGTGATCACCTGTGCTACAAATCACTGCTCACACCCTCTTCTTTAAGCTTTCTGGATTACCTCTGGGTTTTAACCAGCTTTTGTCTACATTCCTCACAGCATTTAGAACGTGATATAATAATGCATATGTCTTCTAAGTGATCTACTTAGTCTGATTTATTTATATTTAATAACCCATATTGTAAAAATCTCCTTTTTTGAATAGTTCTGAAAGGATAAACCTAACAATATGTCTGTTATGTATGCTCATCAGGTGAGACAAAGATTATGATAGATCAAGAAGGTATGTCTAAAACGATCCAGAAACAGATATGCATGTTTTCACTTGCATCAAAAGAATAATTATGGGCCCAAATGATCTAGGGGAATTTTATTTGATGCCACTTCTGACTTCTATAATTCAGTTTGCTTGCACTGAAGTAGAGACAGAGGTAACCCAAGGTTTCCAGGATCTTGGCAGAGTTAGATGTGTAGAGGTCTAACATATCAAATAAATATAAATAAAATCTTAAGTATGAAACTAAGAAAAAAAAACAACTTTTTTTTTTTTTTTTAATAGCAGCAATTAACAAAAATCAATGATTTTGAAAGTTTATCCTATCAGTAGAAGAAATTGTCATGTGCTTTATCTAGGGGGGAGTTGTGAACTGTTAGAAGTTCAGTTCTGCAAGTATAGTCCAGACAAGTAATTCAGCTCC